CCCCAGACGGTCTTGCCTGGAACTCTCTGTGTACAGAAAACTCAATCTGGGCTCGGTCACAGGGAGCACCTGGCACTATTGAGGGTCCTTTCATGATCCTGTCTTCTAAGTGCTGGAGTGATGCTACAGCAGGTAGGGTGCTTGCCTAGCATGCGGTTGATCCGGGTTCGATCCCCCGCACCTCCTACGGTCCCCTGAGCCTGCTAAGCGTGATCCCTGAGTCAGGGTGAGGAGTAAGCCCTGAGCACTGCCAGATGTGGCCCCCCCACCCCAGCCCCCAAGCCAAAACCGAAAAAAAAAAAACCCATCATCTCACCCTTTATTACCTATGTCCACTTGATGTTGGTGGACCCCACGGATGGTTTATGTGAAGCAGGAGGAAAAAGACGGTCACTTTCTCCCAATCCGCCTCTGCCACCCTGGACCCAGAGTTACTGGGTTCTTGTCTCACCTCGCAGAAAAGAATTTCAGGAATAGATGAGCAGTGAAGTGAAACAAATTTTATTTGGAGGTTTTTGAAGGGGAGGAGGAAGAGAGAGTGGGAGAGATTAGAGAATAAAGTGCTCAAGAGGCAACCCGGGCTTCCCGAAGGGCGGAGAGAGCCCCTATACACACCCCAGCATTAGACAGGAAAGCAGGAAAGTGCACTTCTCAAGAGGGGAGATGCGGGTGACACTTGTGCTTGGGTGCCACACGTGCTCGGCCACATGGGCACAAGCAGCACATGGGCTCGGGCAGCATCTGCGCGCCCTTTGTTCAAGGTGGCTTTTATAGGCATCTTCTTGGGATGTCTTGGTCTGGAATATTCTAAAGTCTTCTGTGGGGGTTATGGGTAGATTTCTAGGAGAGAATTGATTTTTCTGGGTGTTGGGCCACATAACTCTGGGCCCCTCTGAGCCGAGATGTTTATTTTTGTTTATTCAGTTGAAAAACAATTTTTTAAAGTTAACCGGATAAAGGGGGAGGCCCGAGGGTATTCGAGGAATTTCCTTCCTGAGGAGGGGGTTCGATCTCCTCACGGTGGTCGGCTGCTGAAGGTCTTATCTCGGTCTGTTCGACCTTAGGACTTTTGCTTCTCAGGAATTTCGTTGTAGATTCTGGTGGCTTTCTTCCATAGGGCCCTTCCCTGTCTATCGGCCTTGCCTACATCACACATGCCTTTCGAAGCATCCCGACCACATCTGGGTCTGCTTAAAGACAGCAGCACAATTTTTGTTTCAAAATGACCCAAAGCAGACAACCGCCTCCAGAGCCTTCTGAGGGGCCCACCCTACCAAGTGTGGCCTTGGATTTCTGTATCCGGCTGGTGCCTCCGTTTCCCTGTTTGCAGAGCGCTCAGGGTTTGCATCTCACATGGGTGTGGTCTGCAGGCCTTTGCATGGCTATCTTGGAGGCTATGAAGGAACCTGGACTGCTGGGGATGCCTGTGGCCTTCAGGAAGAGTGTCCTTGTAACCAAGTCGGGGCTGCGTCCTCCTCGCCCTTGCCTCTCTCAGGAGGCTCCCAAAGTGGGTGACTCAGCTGCCCAGGGTGGGGTGCTCGAAAAACTGGGCGGGTGGGAGTTATGGGTAGATTTCTAGGAGAGAACTGATTTTTCTGGGTGTTGGGCCACATAACTCTGGGCCCCTCTGAGCTGAGATGTTTATTTTTGTTTATTCAGTTGAAAAACAATTTTTTAAAAAAATTTTTGGGTCACACCTGGTGATGCACAGGGGTTACTCCTGGCTCATGCACTCAGAAATTACTCCTGGCAGTGCTTGGTGGACCATATGGGATGCTGGGAATCGAACCTGGGTCTGCTGCATGCAAAGTGAATGTCCTACCTGCTGCGCTATCACTCCAGCCCCCAATTTTTTTCCATTATTAACCTTTCATCATTTGGGGGCCCATACCTGACAGTGCTCAGGGCTTATTCATAGCTACTCATAGGTCTGTGCTCAGGGATCATCTGGGTGGGGCTTAGGGGGTCATATAGGGTGCTAGGGATCAAACGTGGGTCAGCCTGGTGCAAAACAAACAAACTCCCCATTGTACTACCACTCCAGTACCCACCTTTCCATGCTGACTCCTGGCACACTGCCCTGTGTTAAACTAGAGGGACCCACTATTTTCGGCCAGGGGAGAGTTGGGTCCACACCTGGTGGTTGTTCGGGGGACTGCACATGGTACTGGGGGCTGAACCCGGGGGAAAGCAAGGGAGACACCTTTAGCCCCCATGCAATCTCTTTGCCGGCCCCTAACTCAATTTGCTCGGTGACACACTTTTTGGTTATGTAACACATGGGAAGCCAATTCCTGTGGGTTTCCTGGGTGCTTGCTGGCTTCCACAGAGATGCTTGTTTAGAGCAGTTACTCCTTTGGACTTTTTTTCTCATAAAATCAAGGGTTGCCAGGTGCTGTGGAGAGAATTTGCTGTCAGAAGTTGGGAGGTTCTGAATTTTATTTATTGTTATTATTTTTATTAGTGAAACACCATAAAGTACAGTTGTAGACTTACAAATTTTTGTGCTTGGGTTTCAGCTATACAATGATTGAGTACCCATCCCTCCACCAGTGCCCATTCTCCACCACCACTAATCCCAGTATCCCTCTCACTCCACCCTACCTCTGTGGCAGGGCATTCCCTTTTGCTCTCTCTTTCCTTTAGGGTGTTGTGGTTTACAATAGAGGTATTGAGTGGCAATCATGTTCAGTCTATAGTCTACTTTCAGCATGCATCTCCCATCCTGGGAGGATCCTCCCAACACCCTTTATTTGGTGCTCCCTTCTCTATCTGAGCTGCCTTTTCCCCTAGCGTGTGCGGCTGCCCTCCAAGCCATGGAGTAAATGGGAGGTTCTGAATTTTATATAGAATATTATTACACTGTTTTCCTTTTTGTGGTGATCATGGTGGGGGGACACATCCAGCATTGTTGGGGTTTTCTCCAGACAGTACTCAGGGACATGTAGATTACTGGGGATCGAACCAGGTTGGTTGCATACAAAGCAAGTGCCCTACTTGCTATACTATCTCTCTACCCTCTTGTTTTCCTTCTTTTCAAACTGTTTTTGGGTCATACCTGGGGGTGCTCGGGAGCCGCTCCTGGCAGTGCTCGGGGAACATAAACTGCTTGACAACCAATTCCGGTTTCCTGCAAGCAAAGCACGGGCCAATTGCCCTTAGCAAGCAGGTCTGCACGTGGCCAGGGTTCTTCAAAAACATCTGCTTGAATTAAGGGAGATTAGGAGTGATGGGCCTGGGTGGACACGCAGCCTCCACTTCTAGCCAGGGTTAGGCTGGGCAGTCCTGCAGTGAAAGATGGCTTCAGGCAGCATGCTCCTTCTATTATTGCTTTTTTTTTTGGGGGGGGGTCACACCCGGCGATGCACAAGGGTTACTCCAGGCTCTTCACTCAGGAATCACTCCTGACAGTGCTCAGGAGACCATTTGGGATGCTGGGGATTGAACCCAGGTCACAGCATGCAAGGCAAACGCCCTCCCCGCTGTGCTATCGCTCCAGCCCCTGTTACTGCTTTTGAAAATGAGGCACGGGTTCCCGTGTGTGAGGCGCTGCGATGCCTCTACAGGCCTGCTGCATGTGGCCCTGGAGGCGCCCACGACAGAGCCAGAAACTAGTCAGGAATGCATAAATGCAAAATCAGGGTTAAGTTCAAAGGGTTTATCTTCAAATCTGCTTTGCACCAAGGCCTCCAGTGATCCAAAGGAAACAGGCTCACCTTCTATTTATTTATTTATTTATTTTTGCTGGCAGAGGCACACGTGGTGATGCTTGGGGTTCCTCCTGGCTCTGCACCTCAGGGTCACACCACCCCTGGCAGGCTGGGGGGGGGGGGGGGAACCGGACCATATGGTTGCAGGGATCGAACCCAGGTTGGCCCTGTGCAAGGCCCCTCCCCATTGGACCTTTTCTCCAACCTCCTCCCTCACCTGAACCCAGCTGGACTAGTCAGGGCTGTGAGGGCCTGGACTCCGGAACACGTGAGGACACCCCTTTCCTTAGTTTCCCTCCTGTGCCTCCAGCACATCCTGCAGACCCCCAAGCTGTGGATTACACTTCCCACCCTTTCTCTGCACCCTCTCCCAGATCTTGGTCCCGCCTGATATTGGTGGGTCCTACAGGTGGCTTATGTGACGCGTGGGGAGGAGAGAGCCCATCACTTTCTCCCCATCCGCCTCTGCCACCCGGGACCCAGGGTTACTGGGTTTTTCTCTCCCCTCGCAGAAAAGAATTTCAGGAGTACCCGAGCAGTGGAGTAAAACCGATTTTATTTGGAGGTTTTTGAAGGGGAAGGAGGGAGAGAAAGCGAGAGTAGAGAGTGACGCGCTTCCCTATTCGCATCCCAGCATTAGATATGCGAGCGGGAAAGTCCACATCTCAAGAGGGGAGACGGGCCACGTGGGCGCAGGCAGCACATGGGCTCGTCTATGGGCCCCCTTCCTTTGCCCAAGGTGTCTTTTATAGGGTTTCTCCAACCCGCCCCCACTTGGGGCTTCTACCTAGGAGAAAGTCCGTTGCTAGGGAGGTTGCCAAAGGGGGGTGGGGTTGGGAGTGGCGTTGGTCGTCTTTGAATTTCCTTTCCTGGCCTTTTGTTCCTGCTGGAGTTTCTCCAGGAGGAGGGGGGGGTCCCCCTTCTCTGGGTCTGTTGCTGGCCAGGTTAGTCTTGTTTTCTGCAAAGTGCTCTTTTGGCCACTTCGGGGCTAGTGATTATTGTTTCCCAGGAAATTCATTGCCACTGCTTTGAGGGAGGGGGCTTTCCCTCTACCTGCCTGCATCAAGCTTCCCCACCGCCTCCACTCCTCCCCCCACACCCCGCCACATCCCTCCTCTCGCTCCATCACCTGCGCCCTTCCCAGCCCCGACAGGCACCTGCGCCGCCCGGTGCGCATCGCGCGGGCTCCCCGGGCCCCCCCCGCCCCCTCGCGGGCCTCCCCGGGCCGGGCCGGGCGCGCTCCCGCGGCGGCGCGGCCCCTTCCGGCCGGGCCGGGCGCGCGGGCAGGGCCGGGGCGGGGCGCGGCGCGGGGCCGGGCGGGAGGCGCGGCGTGGGCCGTGCCCGCCCCGCCGGCCGTGCCATGCTCATCACGCTGTGCTACCTGTACCTGTGGGCGCGCTGGGGTCGCCGGCCCGCCGCGCTCGTGTGCGCCACGGTGCAGCGGCTGCGCGCCTCGCGCTGCTCCTTCACTTTCTGCCGCGCCGCCGCGCAGCCCCGGGACGCCCGCGTGTGTCTGAGCCGCGGCGGCCGCGTCTTCTGCGTCAGCGACGGCCAGGTGCGGAGCGCGCGCCGGGGCGCGGCGGGGGCGCGCGGGCCCGGGGGCGCGCGGGGTGGGCGGGGCGGCTCGGGCTGGGCGGGGCTCCTGGGGCGCCAGGGGGCGCGGGGTTGGTCGAGACGCGGGATGGGCGGGACTCCGGCGGCGCCAGAGGGCGCGGGGTTGGCCGAGACGCGAGGTGGGCGGGGCTCCTGGACCTGGGGGCGGGGCCTAGGAGCCGGAAGCGTGCCGGGAACCCTCGGCTCCGCCCCTGCCCTCCGCCCCTGCAGGTTCCCGGATAAGATCCGTCCGCCTTCCAACCCAGTTGTGGAACTCTTGCGCAGGGTCCCCGTGCAGAGCATCTCGTGTGGACGCTTTGCTCCTGGCTTCCTGCAGGAAGGGTTGGCCTTGTGTTTCTTTCTTCTTTTTTTTTTCTTTTTGGTTCACACCTGGTGATGCATAGGGGTTACTCCTGGCTCTGCACTCAGGAGTTACTCCTGGCGGTGCTCAGGGGACCATATGGGATGCTGGGAATCAAAACCCGGTCGGCCGCGTGCAAGGCAAACACCCTACCCTCTGTGCTATGACTACAGCCCCGGGCCTGTGTTTGGTCACTGATCCCCGAGGGCAGTGCCTAATTAGAGCCCCTCTCGGGGACATGGGCTCCTGTGATCATCCCTTTGGGGTGCAGTAAAGGAACAGCGAAGCCTCCACTTGCTAGCCTTTATTTTCCAGGCTCTGGCCCTCATGCCTGTGGTTTCCCATCAATGACGCCCTATTGGCTCACGTTTTGGCTTTGCATCTTTTTCTGTGTTTTTTTTCATTACTTCCTCTGGCACACAGCCTTTGGTTGTTTTCGGTTCGAGAGCCGGGTGGCTATGACTTTAGCGGCTTCTAACCACAGTGTGACTGAAGCTGCATTGGATCTGCAACCCTCCCACCCCACCCCACCTCTGGGTGGTTCTCAGGGCCCTTCCTGGCTCTGTGCTCAAGGGTTCTCAAAGCCGAGCGAGGGCTGCCCCCAGCCTGAGCACAGCCCAGTCTTTGTCTTCCTCAGAGTACCTTTGCCCGTTTTCTTGTATTCACTCTTCCATCTGGAAATTTGACACAGTTTATTGCTTTAAAAGGCAGAAATATTGTTTCTGCGAGTGTAAAATCTCAATACCTCTGTGGGAATGAGAATCGTCTCTGGGGATGGATTATTTTGCTGAGCCTGGGCTCAGATATGAGATTATTCTGTGCAGCTAGCAAACCAGAGTCCCTTTTCTGATGGTTCGGGTGTTGTAAAGGCTAAGGCTGAATCTAATTGTTTCCCAGGGGACTGCACATAGAGCCAAGAGGCTGGTTGCTTTCATCACTTACAGTGGCTTCTCTGGTTCAGGACTTGATTTTCGGGAAGAACTCTGATTGGCAGAGACAACAGAAAGAATAAAAATTTCAGAAGGACTTTTCTAATGTTGTAGCTTCCAAACTGGCTTCATCCCCTTGGTAACCCTGACTTCAGTCCTGGCTCCACAGCCTACGAACATCTTCGGATGGTCCCAGGAGGTCAGGGTCAGCATCTCTGGGCCAACCTGGGTTTCCTAGTACCACCAGCTGTGGCCTGTTGGTACTAGGCCCCCCATCCCATGAGGCCGCAGTTGCCCCGTCACTGCTGGCTCATACCTGGCTGTCCAAAAAAAAAAAAAAAGAGAACCAGTAACCCTCATGGATCAGAGTTGAAGTTTTAAATATTAAAAAATATTGAGGTATAGATGTCTCTTTAGCATATGTCTAATATTTTTTGCCACTCCTGGCTCTGTGCTCACGGTTCATTCCGGGTAGGCTCGGGAGACCCAGTAGGTGCTGGGGATGGAATCCAGATTGGCTTCCTGCAAGGCAAGCGCCCTATCCTTGTCCTATTTCTTCGACCCTAGTATGCTTTCTAATTTTGGGGCTATATATTTTGGTGCTTGGGGACTGCTGGAGGAGGGAATGGTGCTCCCTGCAGTGCTTGGGAGGCTTTTTGGTACTGGGTGTTGAACTGGATGCAGCCACGTGCAAGGCAGGAGCCTTACCCTCTATATACTCTATCTCAAGTCCTCTTCAATTTTTATTTTTTGGGGGGTGCACACCTGGTGATGCTCAGGGGTTACTCCTGGCTCTGCACTCAGGGATTGCTGTTGGCAGTGCTCAGGGGGATCGTATGGGATGCCAGGATCAAACCTGGGTTGGCTGTGTGTGAGCAAACACCCTACCCGCTGGACTGTTGCTATGATCCCTCTCTTTGAGTATTCCCCTCTCTCTGAGTATTTCTTTGGAGGTCACACCCAGTGATGCTCAGGGGTTATTCCTGACTCTGCATCCAGGAATCACTCTTGGAGGTGCTAAAGGGACCATAGGAGATGCGGGGGATTGAACTGGGGTCAGCTGCATGCAAGGCAAACACCCTCCCCGCTGTGCTATAACTCTGGTCCCTCTCTTTGAATTTTTTTTAATTTATGTAATTGAATCACCGTGAGAACAGTTACAAAGCTTTCAGGTTTAAGTCTTGGTCATACAATGATCAAACACCCATCCCTTCACCAGTGCATATTTTCCACCACCAAGAACCCCAATATACCCCCCTTGCCACCCCTCCCCATGCCTGTGAGGCACATGATTTCTACTTAACTCTCTACTTTGATTACATTCATTATTTCAACAAAAGATGCTCCATTATAATTTGAAATTTTACCCCAAAAATTTTACCCCAAAATAATTTTACCCCTGCTGAAAAGGCATCGTGAAATAATTTGTTTTCTGTTGCTGGTTATGAAGCCCATATGATGTCATGCCACCGCTATTGTGGCCTCTCGATTTTGGATTTCTGATATTTTACTAATTAAGTCTGGAGGGATTTCTGCCCAAATCCACATATTCCCAATTCCGAGATTGGTCCGTGTGCTTCTGGGTCCATGGCCGTGTGGGAGAGCCGCTCGTGGGGGGCAAATTGTGTTCTTGGCGGGGTGGGAAGGCCGTGCCGGTTCCGCCCTCCATCCCATCACTGCTGGCTCATACCTGGCTGTCCAATAAGCTCTGAGGCAGTGGCCACTGTGCCTGGTGGGCGGAGTGGGGGGGAGGCAGAAGAAACAGACACCCTTTCCTCCCTGGGGACGGGGGGCACGCTACTGAAGCTTAATGCATAGTCCATTCACATTTCTGCCAAAAGCTGCTGGGTTCTGAATTAAGTCTGTGTGCCTCTGGGGCCAAGGCCTTGTCGGAGAGTCACTCATGGGGGCAACTAGTGGTCTCGGTGGGGCGGGAAGGATGTGTCTTTGAATTTTTTGAAAGACAGTTTGTTCTGGATAGGTTCTGACTGTACTGATCTCTGTTTCCCGGAGCACGCTGGTGTGGTTAGCTTCTGCCTTTCTCTTTTCCTGAGCAGTGCTCAGCCACCATTGCCTCAAGGAGCTCTTCCCAGGTTCCTGGACAGGAAGGGGCTGAGGTTACTCTGTGCCTGGGTCGAACTCGGGGCCTTGTGCATGTCACACATTCGCTCCAATTCTTTGAGCTAGCTGTGGTTACTTGTTTCTGTTTATTCAATTTCAGCTTATCACTTATTTATTTTGCTTTTGGGGGGCCATTCTTGGTGATCCTCAGGGGCTCTTCCTGGCTCTGTGCTCAGGAGAGACCCTTGGTGGTGTTCAGGGAACATATATGGTGCTGGGGATTCGAATCTGAACCTGGTCTGGTTGTGTGCCAAGCAAGTACCTTTTGTTAGTGCTGTACTTATGTTAGTACGAAAGTAGATTTTTCCTAAGCTAGTGGGTTCTTGAAAATCCTATGAAAGATTTGCGGGGCTGGAGAGATAGCACAGCAGGTAGGGCGTTTGCCTTGCACACGGCTGACCCAGGTTCGATTCCCAGCATCCCATATGGTCCCCTGAGCACCGCCAGGAGTAATTCCTGAGTGCAGAGCCAGGAGTAGCCCTGTGCATCGCCAGGTGTGCCACCCCCCCAAAAAAAAAGATTTGCATAAAAATTCAGATGCTTAAGAAATTAATTTTTTTTTTTTTTGGTGCTACATTCAGCAGTGCTCAGGGCTTGCTCCTGGCTCAGAGCTCAGGGATTGCTCCTAGTGGGCTCAGGGGACCGTATGGGGTGCCAGGGCTTGAACTCAGGCTGACTGCATGCGAGGCAAGTGTCCTACCTGCTGTGCTATCCCTCCGGCCCAGAAGTTAAAGTTTATTATACAGTTCAGATAGATGGGACTGTGGTCACTGTATACGATGTTCCTTGTCGTTCTTTTTGTTTTTTTTTTTTTTTTTTTTTTTGCTTTTTGGTCACACCCAGTGGTGCACAGGGGTTACTCCTGGCTCTGCACTCAGGAATTACTCCTGGCAGTGCTCAGGGGACCATATGGGATGCTGGGAATCGAATGCGGGTCGGCCGAGTGCGAGACAAACGCCCTGCGCGCTGTGCTATCACTCCAACCCCCCTCGTCGTTCTGTCTGGTCTGCATTACCATGTCTGTGTCACCTCTAGTGTTCAATGATCTGGTCTTGTCCCTACATATTTCTTATTTTCAGCATCCATGTTCCTGATCTGATTCTGTCTCCTGAGAGGGACCCTCTCACGTCAGTCTCCTTGCTGGACTTTGCTGCCCCGTGACCTGTCCCTGGGCCTCCCTAGGACATGACCCAGCTGTTCCTTGGGTCTCAGCTTTCCTTGGTCTCTGGCCACATGCTGTGGGTGACATCCCTGTGCCCAGTATACTTTGTCATTGTCTGGGCATAAAAGTCTAACCTATTTCTGTGGTATATCTTGGCATAGGTGAGGAGGGCAGAGAGAGGTGGGGGGAGGGAGGGAGGGGTCAGAGGGAGGAGAGAGAGAGAGCAAGGGCGAGAGCATTAGTGAGAGCTAGCCTTCTCTTCCTCCTCCTTCTTCCTCCTCCTCTTCATCTTCTCCTCCTCTTCTGCCTCCTCCTCCCTCCTCCTTCTTTTCCTTTTCTTCTTCCTCTCCCATTTCCTCCTCCTCCACCACTTCTTCCTCCTCTTCTTCTTCTCCTCCTCCTCTTCTGCCTCTTCTTCCTTCTTTTCCTCTTCCTCTTCCTCCTCCATTTCCTCCTCCTCTCCCTCCTCCTCTTCTTCCTCCTCCTCCTCTTCCTCCTCCTCCTCTTCTGCCTCCTTCCTTTTTTCCCTCTTCTTCCTCCTCCTCCTCCTCCCCCCCCCCCTCCTCCTCCTCCTCCTCCTCCTCCTCTTCCTCCTTCTTCTCTTCCTCTTTGCCTGGCCTCCATCCTCTCAGGGCTGGGGCAGCTGCCAGCTGTATCACTGCTTCCAGGAGCTTACTTCTTGTGTTTGCTGTTGCTTCCTTTCCTTCTGGCTGGGGACTTCCTTTTCTCCGCTGCTAAAAGGCAGTTACCATTTCCTTTCATCCCATTATCTGTTCTTGATCACATGCCATTTTGGGCATGAGATTAAAAGGGCCAATTAGATTAACCTTAGGTTGCTCATTCTGTGTCCACCTTTCCACTCACCGTTTCTCTTCCAGCCTCGTATCTCTCTGTTTTTGGGTTTCTGGGCCACACTTGGGGTTACCCCTGGCAGTGCTGGGAATCACGCTAGTTCAGCCACACGCAAAGCAAATCTCTTAAGCCATATCTTAAGCCCTGTGCTGTCTCCCCAGCTCAAGCTGCTGTTCTTTCAAGATTTAAAATATCAAGGTGATTTAGTTGGGGGGTAGATCTTAGAGTCATTCTACATGAACCAAAGTAGAACTTTCCAGAACTTGACTACTTTTGCCATCTCCCAATTTCATATGTTTGAAATCTAACATGTCAAGGCGAATGTGTCTGTTTATGTCATCAGGTGATACCTGATGTGCCGGTGGAGGAAGGAGTCCCCACTCACACTCACACTTCTGATTGGCTGTGCCTGAGCCCTGCCAGGGTTTGGCGGGTGTCAGTAAGGGGCCATCCCACGCTCAGGTCATCATCAGAACCAAGCATGTTCGGGCTGGAGATAGAGCACAGTGATTAGATGTTTGGTTTGCATGTGGCTCACCTAAGTTCTGTTCCCGGCACCTCACAGGGTTCCCCAGGCCCTGCCAGGAGTGAGCACAGAGCTGGGAGTGAGCCCTGAGCACAGATCCGGGAGTGAGCCCTCAGCACAGAGCCGGGAGTGAACCCTGAGCACAGAGCTGGGAGTGAGCCCTGAGCACCACCGAATGTGGACTAAACACTGAGGAAGGAAATAAACTCCCCCCAAAATAAAAAAAAAAAAACCTGAAACAAAACCAAACAAAAAACCAAACAGAGCAGATGGGGGTGGCTGGAGGGCCGGAGCCCTCGCCCTGTCTATGTGAGAAGTACGGGATGCATGCAGACCTGTCTTCCTCCTCAGCACCCCGGGGGCCCCATGAGGTAAACCAGGGTAGAGGGGACATGAGTTTATTGTGTGAGCCAGAAGGAGACACAAATCTCCCCCTGCAGGCTGTGAGAAGCCCTTCGCCCTTTTGATTCCCTGCCCTGTTCCTCAGTCTCCTACTCCCCGCCCTGGCCTGGTGGCCACCCAGGGCAGCTGAGCACTGTCCACTGTCTGTTTCCTTGGATGAATTACTGGCCCCTGTCCCCCCCTTCCCCCCCCACACACACACCTGGGAGGACTTCTGCCTCCGAGAGAAGGATCTCAAGTTCAAAATATTCATGTTTCTGCTTCAGCTAGGAAGTTAAGAATTGTCATTAGGTGACTCAAAGAGTACTAGTTTGTTACTATGATTTTATTCAATTTTTTTTTGAGGGGTGGTCACATCTGGCAGTATTCAGAGTTTATTCCTGGCTCTGTGCTCAGGGGTCAGTCCTGAGGCTTGGGAGTGCTGGGGATGGAATTTGCATCTGAGGCATGCAAGGCAAGCACCCCACCTGCTAAACAGTCTCTCTGCATTTTAATTTTATCTCTTCTTCTTCCTCCTCTTCTTTCTCCTTTTCTTCTTCTTCCTTCTTCGTCCTCTTCTTCCTCTTCCTCCTCCTCCTCCTCCTCCTCCTCCTTCTTCTTCTTTTTCCTTTTTGGTTCATACCTGGCGATGCTCAGGGCTTAGTCCTGGCTCTGCACTCAGGAATTACTCCTGGCAGGACTTGGGGGGCTATATTGGATGCCGGGGATCGAACCTGGGTCGGCTGCATGCAAGGCAAATGTCCTACTGCTGTACTATAGCTTCAGCCCCTCTTAATAGATTTTTAAGTACTTAATAGATTTTTAAGTACTTAATAGATGTTTAAGTACTTACTTAACTAGTGCTAGTATGTAATAATTGGGTTTTTGTTTTGTTTCATATATTTATTTATTTATTTTGGGCCACATCTTATGATGCTCAGAGGTTCCTCCTGGCTCTGCACTCAGGAATCACTTCAGGTGGTACTCGAGGACCTTATGGGATGCTGGAAATCGAACCTGGGTGGGCTGCGTGCAAAGCAAATGCCCTAGCCACTATACTATCACTCCAGCCCCCTTTTCCTCTTCCTTTTCCTTTTCTTCTTCCTCTTCTTTTCCTCTTCTTCTTTTTTCCTTTCCTCCTTCTCTCCTTTTCCTCCCCCCCCATCTTCTCCAGATCTGGTGGTCCTCAGATTTACTCCTGGCTCTGTTCTCAGGGATCACTCTTGGAGGGGATTGGGGGACCCTACGTGGTGCTGCAGGTGGAACTGGGGTTCACGTGTGTGCAAGCCAGAACCCTCCCCGTGTTACTCTCTTTCTGGCTCTGGTTTGTCAATTTTCTTCCGGGTCACCTAGAGAGAACCCCAGGGTCTCCCAGTCCCCCGGGCTTGGCGAGGGGACGCTGCTCTGTGCCGTGACATGTTTTCCCGCTTTCTTCCTGGTGCAGTCCATCGATGACCTAAACAAATGGGCCCTGTGTCTGGTCTCTCCCCTCGTGCTGGAGGCTGAGCACATCGCCTTCGTGACCGAGAGCGTCCGGGTGCAAGGGGGCAGCCGGCAGCGGCCAGCGGCGGCGTCTCCGGAGACCGTGAGTAGCTGTGCCTGTGCGTGCTCTGTCCAGGGTTGTGGGGTGCAAGAGAGTTCTGAGTTTCACGAGACTCAGCTAATATAGACACACGTGGGCATCCTGGGACACACACACGAGTCAAGTGACTTTCCCTTTTTTTTTTCTGTTTTTTTTTGGGTCACGCCTGGCGATACTGAGGGCTTCTTCCTCCTGGCTCTGCACTCAGGAATTACCCCAGGCGGTGCTCAGGGGACCACATGGGTTGCTGGGAATCGAACCTGGGTTGGCCGCGTGCAAAGCAAATGCCCTGCCCGCTGTGCTATCACTCCAGCCCTTCCCCTGTTTTTTTGAAAATAAAAAGCTGAACCTAGTGTAGCTTTTTTGTATGTTTTTGTTGGTCATTTTATCCATCCATCCTGTGCGTCTACCATTCTTCCATCTGTCCACCATCCGTGCATCCTTCTGTCTCCCACCTACCTATCCCATTCATCTGTCTATCCTTTCGTTCATCTGTCCATCAGTTCATCCACTCCTCCTCCCATCCACCTGTGCACCTGCACCATGAACTCTCCCAGCATCCTCCACGGGGCTCTGAGCTGCTCCTTGCAGGCAGGGAAATCACACTGAGGGAAGCTGTGTGAGTGCAAGGCTCACACATTCAGTGCCTGCTGGCTGCAGGCACCAGATTCAGATCTGAGTTTCTCAATCTGGGGTCCTCTCCCCCCTAGGACAGCCTCAGGAGAGCAGGAAAGAAAGTTTTTTTTTTTTTAATCCTTCATGCCCCCTTTCAAGTTTGGGTAGAGGGCCTTAGAGTTGGTCCAGTGGTTAGAGCACATGCCTCCATGAAACCCTCTTTGCTTTCTGCAGCACATGGTCCCCCGAGCACCGCCTGGTGCGACCCTGGGGGTCCCCAAGCACCTACCTGGTGATCCCAGGCATCATGTCTGCAGTTCCTTGCAGTGAATTGAGTTACCAGCCCCGTTGGCCAAGAATTGCCAAGAGGGCAATTCTGACCCCCATGATTCCAGAGCACCATTTGGGGGTCCCCCCCAAAAATAAGATAGGCTCTAACTTGTATGCTGTTTTATGATAGCATGGGAGTAATAATCCTGTCCTATCTCAGTGTATAATTACAAGAGGCCAGAGAGATCGGACAGGGCTTAAGGCACATGAACTGCATGTGGCCAACCCTGGTTTTCTCTGTGACTTTGACCATGGTCACCCGAGCCCTTCCAGGAGGGCTTTCTGAGCACAGAGCCAGGAGTAGCTCCGAGAGATCTCTAAGCGCCCCCCTCCCCAGTATACAATTTCTATTTGGTAGTTTCTTTTGGAGGGGTCCACACTTGTCAGTGCTTGGGGCTTATATTGGTTCTTGGCTTAGGCATCATGCTGGTGGAGCTCAGGGGACCATATGTGAAGCCGGGGTTCGAACCTGGCTTGGCTACCACTCCCACTCCCTCTTTCCCCCCACATTACATTTCAAGCCAAATTCCCCACCGGTAATTGCCCCTGCAAGAGCTGAGTACTTTATTTTTTTATTTTGTTTATTTATTTTTTTTGCTTTTTATTGGGTCACACCTGGTGATGCACAGGGGTTACTCCTGGCTCATGCACTCAGGAATTATACCTGAAGGTGCTCAGGGGGACCCTATGGGATGCTGGGAATCAAATCTGGGTCGGCCCAAGGGAAACGCCCTACCTGCTGTGCTATCGCTCCAGTCCCGAGTGGAGCACTTTAGCCGGGCACTTTTTAAAAAAATTTTTATTAGTGAATCACCATGAGGTACAGTTGTAGACTTACAAATTTTTGTGCTTGGGTTTCAGTTATACAGTGATTGAGTACCCATCCCTCCACCAGTGCCCATTCCCCACCTCCAATGCTCTCAGCACCCCTCCCACATACACACACTCTTGCCTCAGCAAACCTGCAAGAAAGGTCTGCATGCTAAGAGCATCCAACAGAGCCCGAGGAAGCAGAGTGGAGGTTTGCCCGGAGACAGGTGCTTTGTCCTACGTCCTCTTTACCTAGCTCACCGGCTCTGATCCAAACCCGGAGACTGTGGTCCAGGCTTGGGCCGCGCTGTTCCCGCGCCCCCTGGTGGTGGAAGTGCGAATGATCCAGACTGACCCGCTTGGGAGAGTCTCATTTGCCGCCCCCGCCCACGTCAGCCCGCACAAGGTTTGGAAACGTTGTCTTGGGGCGGGTGGAGACAGCACAGATGTTAAGGTGCTGACTCTGCTCATTCCTGGCAGGACCTTACGGGATGCTGGGATGGGATGGAACCTGGGCAGGCCACGTGTGCACGCGAGCGCCCTCCCTGCCTCCCTGCTTGGCCCCTTTCCGCAGCCTCTCACCTACTTCCTCCGGCTGCCCCTTCCAGGTCGTGAGGTGGTCGGATTGCTGCTTGCCCTTCGCATGCAGACCTGGGGACCCCTACCAGCTGATCGCCAGAGCAAGCGTGGCCGACTTCAGCAAGCTGGGTGTGGCCTTCATGGAAGATAGGCTCCAGATGGCCAACGGGCTGGTGCCCCAGAAGATTGTTTGTAAGTATCTTAATTTAAAAAATAATGAGGGGCTGGAGAGATAGCACAGCGGGTAGGGCGTTTTGCCTTGCACGTGGCTGACCCGGGTTCAACTCCCAGCACCCCATATGGTCCCCTGAGCACTGCCAGGAGTAACTCCTGAGTGCAGAGCCAGAAGTAACCCCAGTGCATCGCCAGGTATGACCCAAAAAGAAAAAAAAAATAATGAAAGGCGGCTAGAGCGATAGCATAGCAGGGAGGGAGGGCGTTTGCCTTGCACAGGGCCGACCCCGGCTCAATGCCCAGCATCTTATATGGTCCCCCGAGCACTGCCAGGAGTAATTCCTGAGTGCAGAGCCAGGAGTAACCCCTGACCATCACCGGATGTGACCCAAAAGGCAAAAAAAAAAAAAAAAGATTCTTTTCGTGGGGCTGGAGCAATAGTACAGCAGGGAGGGCATTTGCCTTGCACGTGGCTGACCTGGGTTCGATTCCCAACATCCCATATTCCGAGCACCACCAGGAGTAATTCCTGAGTGCATGAGACAGGAATAACCCCTGTGCATCGCCGTGTGTGACCCAAAAAGAAAAAAAAAATTCCTTTTGGCCGTACCCAGCAGCACTTTGAGGCTGTTTCTTTATTTTTTTATTTTTTTTTTTCTTTTTGGGTCACACCTGATGATGCTCAGGCATTACTCCTGGCTCTGCACTCAGGAATTACTCCTGGTGGTGCTTGGGAGACCATATGGGATGCTCGGAATCAACCCAGGTCGGCTGTGTGCAAGGCAAACGCTCTCCCCACTGTACTATTGCTCCAGCCCCTGAGGCTGTTTCTTTCTTCTGTTTTTCTTTGTGTGTGTGTTTTTTTTTTGTGGGGTGGGGTGGGGTGAGGGTTACACCTGGCATTGCTCCTGGCTCTGCAGTCAGGTGTTCGGGGTGTCCTATCACTCCAGCCCTTGCAGATTCAGAACCTGTTTAATATTTATTTTATGCAGACTAGACGCAGGCTGCCTCATTCCAAGACTAAGAAAGACAGCAAAGCCTGTGCTTAGCAAACTAAGTCTACCTGTTCTTATGGGAGGTTGGGGATTGAGCCCGGGTCCGCTGTGTGCAAGGCAGACGCCCTCCCCTCTGTCCTATGACCCCGGCCCTTGCTGTTTTTTTTTTTGAGATACTCGAGTTTATTGTATTGTTAATCACGCTTATCATGCATACAACATTCCAACAACCTATGCACCACCAGAGAGTACACTTCCCTCCACTGAGACCCCAAGGATGCCTCACACCTCCCAGCCCTTGTGGCCCTCATGTTCCTGTGACTTTTGCCATTTCTCGTCATTCCCTTGCAGTGTTTCTTTACAGCCCACACAGGAGAGAGATCTTTATTTACGTATCACCCTTTGTTGGTGTTTTTGGTTGCAGTTCTGAAACAAGAATTTCCGTATCATTTGGCGAATTCAGAGCCTGTTTGGGGGCTGGAGAGATAGCACAGCGGGTAGGGTGTTTGTCTTGCACGTGGCCGACCTGGGTTTGATTCCCAGCATCCCATATGGTCCCCTGAGCACCGCCAGGAGTAACTTCTGAGTGCAGAGCCAGAGCCTGTGTATCACCGGGTGTGACCCAAAAAAGAAAAAAAAAATTCAGAGTCTCTTTAATATTTATTTCATGCTGATGGATGCAGGCTGGCTCATCCTGAGGGGCTAAGACAGCACAGCCCCGTGATGTGATTAAACTAAGTCTACCTGTTGTTTTTTTTTCCTTTTCTTTTCTTTTTGGGTCACACCCGGAGATGCTCAGGGGTTAGCCCTGGCTCATGCACTCAGGAATCACTCCTGGCGGTGCTTGGGGGACCATATGGGATGCTGGGAATCGAACCTGGGTGGGCCGCGTGCAAGGAAAACGCCCTGTCCAGTGGTACTATCGCTCCAGCCCCACCTGCTGTGTTTTTCACACCTGGAAGAGGAGTGCATCCCTCCTGGCTCCCCCCCACCCGCCGTCTTGCAGCACCTCAGTCCCTTCTCCTCTCTCCCGTGCCCGCCTTAGCGGTGCATTTGCAGGATTCGACTCTGAAGAAACTTAAGGATCGGGTGTCCTCCTGCCCGCAGCCGCAGCTCTCAGAGGAACCTCACGCGCCAGACGCCACCATGGCCCAACCTGGAGGCCAGCCCGGAGGAGGTGCGCCCGCCGAGCACTGCCACCTGCACCTCTCCAGCTGCCGCGAGTGCCTGCAGCTGGAGAACAGCACCATTGAGTCGGTGAAGTTCGCCTCTGCCGCCGAGAACATTCCGGACCTGCCCGTGGACTCCAGTGGCAGTGGGCAGGGCCCAGCTGGGGCTGGCAGGCCGGAGGGAGAAGCCGGCCACCGAGCCAACGTCCACTCCAAGGCCCCCAACATCCTGGTGTTCGCGGACGCCCCTGACGGGTTCCACCGGCTGAGCGCGGTCCTGACCGACCTGGTGGACCCCGACTGCTACACTCTGTACCCGCTTTCAGAGGACAGTGCCCTGCGTGACCCCTGGGCCGACAACTGCCTGCTGCTGGTCCTTGCAGGGGGCACCCAGCCCCTGCCCGCCGCGCTGCAGGAACAGTTCCTGGCATATCTGGCGGGTGGCGGGAAGCTGCTGGCCCTGGCCTCCCCGTTCACCTGCGGCAGTGTCCAGCTGGCCCCCAGGCCCACCCTGCAGGCCGCCGTCCGGAGCATGGTGTTCTCTAGGGCCGACAGCAGCCGTCTCACGCTCCGCGTGCTGGCCAGTGGCCACGTGTACCAGGAGGGGCCCGGGGAGCAGCCTGGCTGGGGCCCACTCCAGGGCCACCTGGAGGAGGGCCTAGAGGACAGGTTGATTGTTCACGTGCCCGTTGGAACGCAGGGGGGAGAAGCCGTGCTCTGCCAGGTATGGCCGCCCGCCGCCTTGCTTCTTTTGTTGATTTGATTTTGGGCCCTGCGTGGCAGTGCTCAGGGGTCACTCCGGGTGGGCTCTGGGGACCATCTTGAGTGCCGGGGATGGAACCCCAGCCAACCACATGCAGGGCAAGCTCACTATCCATTGTGCTATCTCTCCAGCCCCTGTTTTATTTTTAATTTATTTTACTTTAGTTACCAGATTGTTTTTGTATTTCAGGTCGGAGCCATAGGGCGGCGGGGAGGGTATTTGCGTTATACATGGCCAAATCCAGGTTCCATTCCTGGTATCCCCTAGGGTTCCCCGAGCACCGCCAGGAATGATTCCAGAGTGCAGAGCCAGGAGTAACCCCTGAGCATCACTGGGTGTGACCCAAAGTGTAAAATCTTATCATGCCGAAGGTTGTATGTTCACGGGCTCACTGGACGACACTGTTTCACCGCCTGCGTTCGGTGCTCTTGAGCCACTGTGTGTGGCCTGGATCGGAACTGCTGTTGGCCAAGGGCAGACGGAAGAAAAAACGGGGGCCAGGCCGGTCTATAGCAATAGTAGTTTATTCCAATCCTCTTCACTCGTGTCTCTCTGCCTCCTTCTCTCCTGGGCCCAAGTCTTGGAAGCTCTCTCCTTCTGGCTCTGACTCTGGATCTCTGGAGCCCGAGCTCTCTCACTTCTGACCCCTTTTCCGAGCTTACGTCTTAGTTTATATAGCAGTCACATAAGGCGGTGACATAAAGGTGGGTTGAATACTGACGAATCAACAAAGAGAGGTAAGACCACTCCTCCAGGAGATTAACTCAAGGATAAAATCTCATCTACAGAGATTACTTCAGATTACTAGGAGATCCACCCAAGGGTGGGATCCCAACAAGGATGTGTTCTTCCTTCAGTTAGTAATCTACTTAAATAGTTGTAATAAATCTACTTCTAATATTTCTAGCAACTCATTCTGTATGAGCACAGTAAGAGATATAAATTTAGTTTGGTTCTTCCTGAGAACATCTCACTATACACTTCGCAGTCCTCAGGCCAGGTTAATCTTCCTAGCTCCAGCAGGGTCCTAGTCTCGTCGTTACTTACTTTTGGATCATGACAGCATTTGTCCATGATCATGCCCTCAACTTATAGTTGAGTATCGTGGCTCTTTGGCCTGGCCCATTTCGATGCCAGGGTAGCTCACTGCTTGCCCTGGGTCCATTCAGTCCCTCGTCGGGACCCTGCTTTTGGGGTGCTAGGAACTAAGGGCAACTGAGTCAAGAAATCAGATGCCCAGGAGTAAATATTATTCGGAGTCAATCAACTCCCAAGTTACAAAGCATAATATTAACTGTCTTCCTGTGTCCACACAGAAAGGACATTGCTTACAATACAAGTTCAGTGTTCTTAGATGGGTGTGACCTGACAAACCTAAGCTACCTGAGGAAGGACAAAAGAGTGTTATCCTACACCAAAGCACTGTAGCACTGTCCTCCCTTTGTTCATCGATTTGCTCAAGCGGGCACCAGTAACGTCTCCATTGTGAGACTTTTGTTGTTACTGTTTCTGGCATATCCAGTATGCCATGGGGAGCTTGCCAGGCTCTGCCGGGTGGGTGGGATACTCTCGGTAGCTTGCTGGGCTTTCAGAAAGGGGTGGAAGAATTGAATGCTGGGTCAGCTGTGTGCAAGGCGAACACACTACCCACTATGCTATCGCTCTGGTCATAAAAGAAAAAATTTTTTTTTTGTTTGGAATGTTTTGCACTGGGCCCCGTTGCTCAGGGATCACCTCTGACTCTGCGCCATTGCCCCCAGCAGAGTTTGGGGGACCTTATGGGATGCCGGAGTCCATCCAGGGTTGGCTCCATGCAAGGCCAGTGCCTTCCCGGGACAGCATCTCCCCTGCCCCTGTTGATATATATATATTTTTCTTTTTGGGTCATACCTGGCGATGCACAGGGGTTACTCCTGGCGGTGCTCAGGGGACCATATGGGATGCTGGGAATCGAACCCGGGTCGGCCGCGTGCAAGGCAAACGCCCTACCCGCTGTGCTATCGCTCCAGCCTCCCCCGGTGATATTTTACTTCATTTGCGGTGCTGGGGCTTGAACTCAGGGCCCGTTCATGCCCAGGTCACATGCTCTGCGCTGAGTGTGTCCTCTGGGCTCCTTGTTCCCGGGTGTCCCACTACCCCCCGGTTCATGATATGCTGCGTGTGATGTTCCCGCAGGTACACCTGGACCTTCCTCCCACCTCTCCGCTGGTGCAGACGCCGGAGGACTTCGATCTGCTCAAATCCAGCAATAGCAGCAGGTACGACGTGCTCAAGGAGATCCTGTGCGGCCTGGGGCTCAGCTGCGGCACCCACCGCCCGCCTGCCCTGACGCCGCTCTATCTCCTGACTGCATCCGAGGTGAGTGTGAGCCCCAGTGGCCCCTCGAACCCCCCCCAGCCCACCCCCTGCTGCCCCATCCCAGTGCTGTTCCTTAATGATCTTGATTTTGTTCCATTTCTGTTTCGTCCTTGGGCTGCAGAATCGTCCCTGAGATGCCCTGCCCCAGCTCCTGAGTTTGGTTTTAATGAGGAAAGGGGGAGGGTTGTCAGTCTTTTTTTGGAGGGGTGGGTGGACTCTTGGAGCTCCCTGAAGAGGCAGAGTTGGGGCTTGGCTGTGTTATATGTGGGACCGTGAATCCCAGTGGGGTCCCTCGTCTGCTAGCCTGCACCCCTGAGCTGTGTCTCAGAGTGATGGTGTGCCCCCTTCAGGGTCCCAGGGGCCCAGGCGCACCCCCTCCCCCAGTGTCCTGGGCATTCCTTGCCCTGTCGGGCGCGGGGATGTGGTTTGGGGAGGCCGGGATGAGAAACAGCCGGTTTCTATCTCATGTGCTCGCCTCTGCCCTCTAGTGGCCGCCAAGGCTCATGGCTTCTGTTTTTTTCCTGCTAGTTTTGTGGGTGCGTGTGTGTATGTGTGTGTGTGGAGGGGGCAGGGGAGATGCCCTCTGTGGGGACTGGAGACCATTTGCATGGGGTTCAGGGATGCTGCGGCCCTTTGTTTCGGGAGCTACAGGTTGATGTGAATCCTTTAGACTTGCCCGTTTCCAATGAACTGTGTTACTCTCCTGGCTGGCTCAGTTCTGCCCATGCATACCATTCTGGGGAAATGGTGTGTCTGTGGTAGGATGGTGCGATTCCGGCAAATGTGTCTCCTGAGGAGTCTGAATAGGGAAGGACCCTGGTATGTCCCTCAGGAGGGGGAGGCCCTGCTGGGCTCCAGTCTGTCCCGGGGCCAGGTTAAGTTGCAGAGGACGCTAAGCACCGGGTAATTCAGGCAGTCTGAGAGCTGCGGGGGCTGACTTAGTCCAGCGGGGAGGGTGCTTGCTTTGCACACAGTTGACCCGGGTTCTATCCCTGGCAAAGAGTAATTCCTGAATGCAGAGCCAGGAGTAACCCCTGAGCATCGCCTGGTGTGGCCCGAAATTTAAAAAAAAAAAACCAACTTGAGCAATTAGGAGACCTTCTAGGATTATGTGAGGGCAAGATGAAATAATATGATTGCAAGTCTGTAAGCTGTATTATTGGAAAGATAATTCAATATATATATATGTATATATGCACTTTGGGGCCACATATGGTGGTGCTCAGGGCTTACTCCTGGCTCTACTGCACTCAGGGATCTCACCCAGCAGGCTGGGGGATACCTTATAGGATGCTGGGGATTGAGCCTAGGTTGGTCGTGTGCAGGGCAAATGCCCCACCTGCTATGCTATCCCTTTGACCCTCATTGTATATTGTTGAGTGGCACTACGAGTTTATAATATGTTTAGTGAGGGCTGGAGTGATAGTACAGCAGGTAGGGCGTTTGCCTTGCACACAGCCAACATGGCCAACACAGGTTCAATTCCCAGCACCCCATATGGTCCCCTGAGCACTGCCAGGAGCAATTCCTGAGTGCATGAGCCAGGAGTTAACCCCTGAGCATCACCGGGTGTGACCCAAAAAGCAAAAAAAAAAAAATGCTTAGTGAGTGCTTAGCTAAGAGGACGAAGAACCTCCGGCTCCAGGCACATCTCTTTGATTCCACTGTTCTTCCTGCATTAACATATGCCTCAGAGACCTGGGCCCTACGCAAACAAGATGAGAACGCTATTCAGGTCTCCCAAAGAAGAATAGAAAGAGCTATGCTTGGAATATCACGTTTCACTCAAATGAGAGAACGAATCCGGAGTTCTGACATCCGTCGACGATCAAGGATCAGGGACGCTGTCTCATTTGCCAAGGTGTCGAAAATCAGATGGGCTGGTCACGTAATGAGATTTAAAGACGACCGCTGGACTAGAGCTGTTACTGATTGGATTCCACGGGATGTCAAGAGACCGCGTGGCCGCCCACCTACCAGATGGTCAGACTTCTTCGTCAAGATCATGAACAATCGGTTTGAGGCCCTTCATGTTCCCGGAGCGAACAGATGCCATTGGGCTACACTAGCACGCGACAGGGACAAATGGAGACGTTACTGGCGCCCGCTCGAGCAAATCGACGACTAACGGGAAGTTAAGTGATTAAGTGATTAAGTGAGTGAGTGCTTGATACCTAAAGACTGAAAAGTGTTTTTCATCAGAAAAGTAAAAAAATTCAACAATGGATGAATTTTTCATTTAAGAACTATGGGTTGGTTGCATTGATTTTATTAGGAAGTGCTTTTTGTTTTTAGCCAGTGTGTGCTTATATTATGTGTTGGGTTTGGAGACCTCATCCGGCGGTGCTCAGGGATCACTCCTGGCCAGACTTTGGGGACCCTCTGCAGAGCCAAGGATGGAATCCTGCATGGTTGTGTGTAAGGCAAGTGTCCTACTCTCCATCCTCCCTCTGGTCCCTCCATTTGATTTTTTTGATTTCATCTTTACAACCACCACCCTACAGTGGTAGGGCGTTTGCCTTGCATGCAGCCAACATGGCCGACCCGACTTTGATTCCTCCACCCCTCTCGGAGAGCCCGGCAAGCTACCGAGAGTATTTGATATGCCAGACACAGTAACAACAAAGTCTCCAATGGAGACGTTACTGGGCCCGCTCGAGCAAATCGATGATCAACGGGAGGGCCTTTACCTTTACCTTACCCTAGAATCCCAAGAAATTAGAATCCCAATTTCCTCTGGAATTGGCTGATGTAGAGTGCTTTGTCTCAGTCTTTTGATTTTGATAAGATTCCGTGGCTTTGTCATTTGCAGCGCGACCTTGTAAGGACGGGAGCTGGAGGCCCCCTGATATGGAAATAAACGTCCCCTATCCTGCACTGGACCTCCCCTGCCCTCTGGGGGCTGGATCAGCCCCACAGCCTTTTCTTTGCCTTTTTTTGCCTTTTCTTTGGAAGTAAGGCAGACCAGGGGAGATGTGTCTGCCTGGCGCTCTGCGTCCTCTTCTGGCCAATCCCGACGCTGCCCACACGGGGTCGCTGCTGAGCCGAGCTGCTGGGGGCCTTCCCCGGTGAAGCCCGTTCGCTTCTCGGCAGGTATTGGGGCATTGGCCCTCTGGAACCTGGAGAAATTTCCTTGGATATACATCCTGGGGCCGGCCAGAGAGCTCAGTGGGCTCAAGTGCTGGCATTGCGTGCAGGGGGCTTTGGGCTGGATCCCCAGCTCTGCAGGGGCCTTCGAGCACCCCCAAGAGTGACCTCCAAGCCCGCAGCTGGGGATAGCCCCCAAGTATTGCTGGATGTGGCCTCTGGGGCCAGGAATGTCCTCTTTCTTTCAGCATTGCCCGTGCAAGACCTCCCAGCCCACGGTTCTGAGTCTGGTTTTTCTCTCCTGCTGCCTGGGTGCCCCTGGGTCAGAATCTCCAACCGTCAGAGGGTGCCCACGGCACTGTGGGTGGACAGAGTTCGAGCGGGAGCAGCTCCATGTTCCAGGGAGAAAGCACCACCCAGAGGCCAGCTGACCCTCGCCACTGACCGGCGCTGCTTCCTGAGGTGGCCAGTGACCCCCGATGGTCCCCAACTATGCCCCCTCCCCTTCAGGCACTGTGCCCAGAGCAGATGTTAGTGACTGACTGGTTCCTGTTTCTCCAGCACTCTCGGGGGCGTCGTGGGGATTTGGGTTTTGGCAGAATGCTCCACCTCCCCCCACCCACCCCTTACACACTGTCCGCATAAAAACGGCTGTTTCTAGGGTTACGACCGAAGGATGATTTTTTGTTTTATTTTGTTTTGTGTTTGCTTTTGGGGTCACACCCGGCGATGCACAAAGGTTACTCCTGGCTCTGCACTCAGGAATTACTCTGGCGGTGCTTAGGGGACCATCTAGGATGCTGGGAATTGAACCCAGGTCAGCCACGTGCACGGCAAACGCCCTACCCACTGTGCTATCACTCTAGCCCCTGCTTTTTTTTCGGGGAGGGGAGGGGTGGTGGCGGACTATACCTGGCAGTACTCAGGACTCTCTCTTGGCAGGGCTCAGGGAGGCCCTATGGGGTCGCTGTCTGTAAGGCAAGTGCCCTTTCCACTGGACTCTCACTTCAGCCTCTACAGGGTGATTTTTGTCTCTTTTCTGGGCCTCCCACGTGGAAGAAGAGGAGGTGGGGAAGAGGGAGGAGGGTGGGCGGGCAGTACACCCCAGGGGTCCGTCAGTGGCTATGGGGAACAATGAGGCAAGGTAGCCGCCACACCCTGGACTCTGTGCTGGGGCCTGGGGGCCACCGGAAACCCCAACACTGGGATTCTGGGGTGCTCCTGTGGACAGGGCACTTCCTGCACTCGGGCACGTGCCCTTGGTGGGGGTGACATGGGTTGGGATGCATCCTGGGCTCTGAGTGTCATTTTGGGGGTGGTGGGAAGGGCGGGAGGCATTTGGAGACTTGGACGTTGGGTTAAATGGCTTTTTTTTTTTTCCTTTTCGGGTTACACCCGGCAATGCTCAGGGGTTCCTCCTGGCTTTGCACTCAGGAATTACTCCTGACAGTGCTCAGGGACCCTGTGGGATGCCAGGGATCGAACCCGGGTTGGCCGCATGCAAGGCAAATGCCCTACCCGCTGTGCTATGGCTCCGGCCCATAGTGGCTTTTTATTTATTTTTTAATTGAGTGCCATGAGACGCACAGTTGCAAAGCTGCTCATGATCGGGTTTCAGTCATGCAGGGTTCTCAGACACCCCCTTCTCCAGTGCATGCTCCCCCCCACCAATGCCCCCAGGTTCCCTCCCACCCCTCTGCCTCCCCAGCTGCCTCTATGGCAGGTGCTAGTTTCCTTCTTTCTCTTTCTGTCTTGCTTTCTCCCTCTTTCCTTCTGAGCATCAAATGGCATCTTGGCTCCACATTTCTTGCCTTGACCCCTGGGTTATTGATGAGGTTGAGTTGGCGAGTGTGTCCAGCGCCCAGCACTGTCCCTTCCCTGATTTGCTGTGACTGGGGCTGTCCCCCCTCCCC